GGAGGGAGGGATTCAGTTGATACAAACTAAGAACAATGTTGACTCCTAGGGAACACCCCAATGCCACAAGGTGACCTTCAGCTTGTATTAAGCTTCCCTCATTTCCCGATACAGCATTTGGTCTACTATTATTAAATTTGATATTCGGCTTCCCTCATGCACTGGCCTGGAATATGTGGATTGGCTAATCTCACCAGTCCATAAAGGGATTGGCTAATCTCACCAGCCCACAAGGGGATTGGCTGATCTCAACAGTCTACAAGGGGATTGGCTAGTCTTTCCATTACATTGAGCGGCTTCAGCAGCAGCAGGAGAAACCTCATTGTCAGAAAAGAGCAAGAGAATGCAACTTGTCTGTCCTTCAGGACCACAGATTTTTGTGCCAGCCAGACTGGAGTCTCCAGGAGAGACAAGGAGACTCCAGGCTGGCCCAGCAGTGAGAGCAGAGAACCAGAAACCTGATGTAGACAGCGTTGTCCTTGAGACTGCTATGCCATGGAACCAGAGCTAAGAGACTTGGCCCAAAATTGATGGACAAATGGAGGACTGGGGAGGAGAGGAGAGAGCCACAACAGGCAGGACAGAGAGCTCTGTAATACTGGCCTACAGCCGTGAGGCTCAAGGCTGAGGCACCTGTGAGCATGTTTCTGAAGCCGTCCTGCCTGTATTCTGCTACCAAACCTGGATTATAACTGTTAGGCTAAAATAAAAATGGAGGCTGAAGTTCAACTCAGAAATCCCTATGTCAGGACATTCTGCAGAACTAGTTTCCCAAGACCAGAAACTTGATGCGCCACTTTATGGGCCACTGCAATGACCCCATATAAACCCCCTAAAGTAGCCTGGTTTGCAATAAACTCTGAGAAATGTTTCTACCTCGGCATGGGTCTTGGCTTCGATCCAAAACCTTTCATCAACCTTTTGACTTCCCCAGCATGGTTCTCTGTGGCCTGTGAGCTATTGCATCAGATTTTTGAACCCACTAAAGCAGTAAGAGTGGTATTGGGATGAGTAGAAAGAGGTGTAGGAGCATGAGGGGGACATGTCTGGCCTCATCGGAATTGGTTTTGTGTTATTGATGTTGTTGACAGGAACAGGTCTCCTTTGTGAAGAAGGTAAAAGTCAGATATAGCGGTCCCCATGCGGCCCTTGGTCTTTTTACATACTCCAAAGGCCATGCCTCTCTGGGGTTTGAAACCATTATTCACTGAAAGTGAGTTGTACAGAAGAGGAAGAAAAGACCAAAATGGATGTCAGAAGAAACTCTGAAGATTGCACGGGAGCATAGAGAAGCCAAAGCACAGGGAAGAATTCAAGATACTAAAGAGCTGAACAGACGATTCCAAAAGGCAGCACGAAATGTTGTTGTTATGTGTCGTGGAGTTGTTTGCGACTCATAGCGACCCTATGCA